AACCATTTTACTCTAGATTTCAAACATTAGTGTCTGATAGCATCTACTTTAAGGCCAAGAGGTGAAAGACCAAAGAAAAACTAAGTATCATAGTAAAGAGGAAAAAAATGCAATGTCCTCATATGAAGACGTAGGGTCTCAGGAGACATGTCAGCTCTCATTCAAAGGAGCCATCTCTCTTACTTGCATTCATAAGTAGTTACTCTCTTCAGCCAGGAGGGGGGTGAGCTTATTAACAATGGTTTCTTTAGAAAATAACAATCTGAATCACTGTGTCTCATTAAATGGTTATTGTAGCTTTTTTATACTAAAAGGATGATATTTAGAAATAAGTCATTGCACATTCTAATTTTATCATTACATAGCTAAAATATGTTTAGAGGGAGTATGTTTACAGACATTATTTTTTGTAAAACAGTACACTCAGCAAAAAAGTGCTGAGGAGGATGTTCCACAGCTGAACAGTGCAGGCCACAAACTAAGTAAGATGAACTCATAGCTTTAGACACTTTAGATGTAGTTTTCTTATTCCTTTTACATTTGAAAATGTCATTTTTAAGCATAAATGTATTTTTTTAACCTTTTTGCTATCGATACTGTGTCTGTTGTACCACTTATTACTGTGTGTGTGAAACCTGAACCTTGATTTGACCTGTAGCCCTTCCTCATGACTACTTTGTTAGGTTTGTGGACAGTCGCAATGCTGGTTCATTAAATGGTCCGATGTCTTTTCATCACCCTCTCCACCTGGGTGAAGAACTCCTCCACACTGGGCTTTTTGGTGGGTCCTGATTGAAAGGGATGGGTGTGTTTCTCCTTTGCTCTGCTGGCAATGACAAATCATTAAGGATAGCTCTCACTTTATACTTTTAAGTGGTGATAAGTGTTTAATTACAACGGGGAAAAAAGGAAACCAGAAAAATGTAAAGTTACACTTTAATGTAGAAGCACTGCTGGTCCTCACCTCCACGTCAAATATCAAACTTTTTTGGAAAATGTAACCCACAGTAGATTATCCATAGTTTCTAACTTAGTGAAGTTATCATTTGGCATTTGGTTCTCTGAACGTATATGGCAGAAAAAAAGATGATAGATTTGGAAAAAAAAATGTTTTTCCTCGTGATTTAGTTTTTTTGTCTTTTAACTTTTTCTTGTCCTTTTTATCAGGCTAAAACGGGATAAATGGAATAAATAAAGGAAGAACCACTCCAAAGCAAACGGTCAGCCCCTTGGAAAGAAACGTCAGGGGTCCAGTTCAGCTCCAAAGTGACCCTATTAGGGCAAAGTAGTCCCAACTAAGATGGATTTGTGAGAACAATCCCTACATATTTCCACATTAAATTTATAAACGCACGTCCCTGTCAACCCATTTGACGATTGTAATTTTCTGCCACAGATATAAACCCCACTGGGAGCAACGGGTACAGATAACGGATGGAACCATAAAGGCCACAGATGGACCGGGACAGGGAGGGATTTCAGTCCCCGGGCGAGTACTCCGGTCACAGTTACGCTTCAAATCAGACCCCAAAACAACGCCACAGAGGGGATTTCAGGAGGGGCGTGCGTGTGCATGTGTGTGTGTGTGTGTGTGCATGTGTGTGTGTGGAGGCTCCAGCAGACTGAGGCCACACGGGATGTCACTGCAGTAAGTGTTGTACAAAATACGAAAATTATCAGTACAAAAGGACTATTTAATCATTTCACACTGTTCATTTACAAATATGTGACTTACATATTTTTATCTTAATCAATTTTTGAAAGATTTCTGAAATCCAAGTATCCTCATTGTTCTGACAGGTGGAATAATAGTGATTTGATCCCCAACAACAATATCTGTGTGTGTTATGAACATGTTTAAAAAGCCTGATTTTGGAAGTACAAATAAGATATTTCATTTTTTCTAGCATCATGAACACACTTTGATTGTCAGTACTAATTTCTTATCATATAATTCTGGATATCATCACTCTGTAGAATCAGAAAGATTCAGCTGAGTTGACAACACTGACAACATTTATTCCTGTTCTGTCTTTTATTCTGGTGTCTTTCCTCCATTCCTGTGTTCTGCACCAGCCTCTCTCCCTCCTGTGCAGGACTCTGCTGACCGGTGGTGGCCGTGTCACTCAGTGACCACCCCTACAGACACCTGTCCTTCGTTAACTCTACCTGTATGGGGTTTCTCTGAGTCCAGGTCTTGGGTTTATCTTTCAGCAGGTTGGCTTTGGTTGTGTGGCTTTTTGGGGGTTGGATACATTTACATTCCCCTCATCAGCCTCAGCTCGTTCTCAGTGAGCGGAGTCTGATGAGTGGAATGCAAATGTATTCAGCCCCACTCCGCTCTAGTGGGCTTCTTACCTCAGAGGTTTCTGCCCCTCCGGTCTGCTCGTTCATCTCAGTGCAGGGACGCTTTCCTACCCCCGTCCCCTTTCAACTCTTTGTTACATTTAGTTTTATCTTCTATTCAATCCCTCCTCGCCTTAAAGAGCTGCACGTGCTGCTCACGCCTCGGGCCGTCTGTAATGAAGACTGAGGACTGGGAGCTCTGGCCTGGGCTATAAAGGTGGGAAACGTTAGGCAGCTTTGGCTGTTAGCCGCCCGTCACAGCACAGCTCTGCAGAGTTTAGTAGCTCAGCCTTTCACACAGGTTTAAAGCCTTTCTCATCAGGGTGCTGTGGGACCAGAGGAAACCCGAAAACACACGCACGTGCACAATGCCTTCATGGGCCATAGTCAAAGCTTTGAGTGTCCCTGACCAGTGTGCTGCTGTTCAGTGTAAAAACAGCACCCCACATCACTCATTTTTCAAACGGACTCTTCCAGAGAAGAAGGCTTCTCCTGGCACTGCTCTGACCTCTGAGTAGTTGTGACTTTGTGCGTTAGCATGCCGAACTGTTGTGTTGTTGTTGTGAGTGTGGGCTGAGGATAAAGCCCGGGGTTAACCCACACCAGCTGCTACAGCGCTCACCACTGGGACTAGCAGTTTATTGTACATATCACAGGTGATGCTCTTTAGACTGGTCAGCACTGATCTAAGCCGTGGGCTGCACTGACCACAGCTGGACTCCACGTGCACGCCTCCCTGTGCTCACGGAGCTCAGGTTCATCACTCACACCTCACTCAGGTTTCCATGACACTTCACAGACTGGCAGTACACGAGGAGCAGATCTGTACATTTTACAAACACTTCTCAACCTTACAAAGATGGTGAAACTGTGATTACTGTGTCACAACGTCCAGAATCCAGCAGTGGTGCTTTGTCCGGTTTCACATCTGCTCAAACTGAGTCACAACTGTCAGGGTGGAGAAAATACCTCAGTCAGCTTTAAGGAGGACAGAGAGCATGAGGGTGAGAGTGTGCAGTACAGAGTGAGGGCTGATTCAAGCGCAGTGTAGCTCTAGAAGGCGTGGCCCGGCGGGTCAGCGGCGGGTCAGCGGGGGGCGGTCACTGGGCCGGGTTGCAGCGGTGGCTCTTGTAGGTGCCCAGGTGGCGGAAGCTGCGGCCGCAGTGCTGGCAGCAGTAGGGCGTGGCCCCGCTGTGGATCCTCTGGTGCGTGTAGAGGTTGCCCAGCTCCTTGAAGCGGCGGCCGCACTGGGGGCAGGCGTAGGGGCTCTCGCCGGTGTGCACGCGCTGGTGGCGCTTGAGTCCGGACAGCACGGAGAAGCCCTTGCCGCACTGCGGGCAGGGGAAGGGGCTCTGCGCGCCGCTGTGCACCAGCCGGTGGCTCTTGAGGCGGGCGGCGTGGCGGAAGCGCTCGCCGCACTCGGGGCAGGCGAAGGGCTTCTCGCCCGTGTGGATGCGCTGGTGCTGCCGCAGGTTGCCCAGGTAGTTGAAGTGGCGCCCGCAGTCCCCGCACTTGTACCCCCCCTCGGTCTTGATCTCTCGTTTGTCGGGCCCCCCGCCCGGGGCCTCCTGGCCCGGCTCCCCCCCCGCCCCCCCGGGGGCCCCGTCGGAGGAGCTGGAGGGCTGGGCCTTCAGGGCGGGGCCAGCACCGGGGTCCGGGTGGATCAGCTTGACGTGCTCCTGCAGGAAGGCAGAGTCGGGGCAGAAGGTTCCACACAGGGAGCAGATGTAGGGGGGGCCGCCAAAGGGTTGCCCTGGAACAGCAAAGGTACTCCGTTAACTCCACACATCTCAGTACAGATCAACCCACCATTCAGGGTTTGTTCTATGTGAACTATGTGTGAGTCGTGGCTGCAAATCTCCTCGTCTTGGGCCGTGATGCTTCCTGTTTTAGCTCCATGTCTCTGTGTATTGTCCCCTGTTGACTTTTGTAGTGAACAAAGATGCATAATCTACTCTGCTCTTCAGCTTTTTAGCTTTTACCCGCTGACGATTAGCTATATGTGGAGAAGGCATCTGGTTTAGAGACGTCACTTCCAATCCGATCCCGGCCTATCAGAGCATGTATTAAACTTTTAAGTTATCTATCTACTTACTTAGTTGTCAGACTCATGTTGAACAGGGATTTACTCTGATTACAACTTAATGGTCAGGACACAGACCTGTGTTTACAGATGCTAATGCTAATGCTCCAGTGGGATCGGACATAAAAAAACAACTGGATCTGCGTTTTCTCCTGCAGACCGATAAACAGGTTGATGTGAATAACGGCAGACGGTCCGATCCAGATATCGGATCAGGACCAGCCTAATCTGGTCTGCTGACGCTTTCCAGAAGTACCGACTCAACACTGGAGGTGACTCTTTTACAGTCTTGTAGGAATTAAATTGAGTTCATATTCACAAAAACAATAAAGATATTAAGAACGATTATCAGTTTGAGCAATAAAATTTGGGTTTTAACTAAATATAAGTTTAAAACAATTTCCCAATCATTTGGTTAGGGTTTCATTTAGGTTCTTCAAAATTTTCCAAGATGATTGGGATATTGGTTTGCAGAGGTCTGTGTGTTCTGGAAGGCGATGCCTCAGATAATGGCCGACCCTTCCTGTTCTGAGCTCCGGCTCAGCAGGGCAGGTTCACAGGAGAATCCACAGCTAGAACCTGCTGTTCAAACACTGATTTAACCTACGTTCTGGAACTTTTTGTCTTCTCATAAAAACTCGTCCTGAAATATCATATTGTGACACATTTCATCAAACACACCACTGGGATCAGCGCTTTGTTCTGGAAGCGCTGATCCCGGTGGTGCCCTGGATGAGAGGGGGAGTCCCCACCTGCCTGGGCTGTGTCTGCGCCGCCCTCCTCTGCAGGACTCTGGGGCTGTGGGGAGAACTGGGAGGTCTGGGAGGTCTGGGCCCGGGAGAGCGAGGCCTGGATCTGCTCCAGTCCGCTCCCGTCGCTCCTGACCGACTCCTCCTCCCTCTGGTCTCCCTTCAGGGGCTGGCCCCCGGCCTCCCTCAGGGCTGCGGGTGGGTGAGAGGGGGGAGAGGATGAGTTGACAGTTAATTTGGTAAAGACCCGGCCCTCTGAGCCCACCAGCGGCCCTGTCCGGGCACACATGGACAGGCAGTGGACAAACAGAGGGGAGGCTTTTCCTCCTCTCACTGCTACTGCCTCATAAAGCTTTTCCCCTGAAGGATCCTGCACAGCCAGCGGACCTGGGGGAAGGATGCAGATTCAGTCTGGCTTCCTGTGGCGCTAACACCACTCCATCTGCATTTGTGTTCAAGGAAAAAAATCTGTCTTTTTTTGTGCCTTAGTCTGACAGAGCTGCCCTGATGCCAGGGAGCTGGCAGGGACTCCCACATTATCACCATCACTGCTACGGGTCAGTAGGAGTGGGAGTCATGTGGTCATGTGGCTTTGGGGTTTTTATGAAGGCAGACCAGAGGCTGAGGACACAGCTCATAGGAGGAGAGGCATCAGCCGATGGGTGTGGCTGTAGGAGAGGCTGTTTCACAGACCTAACAGACGTATTTCTG